ATCAACCTTTGGGGCTTTTTTCCTAAAGCTTTGTAACAAATATAATGATTTTACAAGAAATTGTTTTATCAATTCCGTTTCTCATTTCTTTTTAAATAAACTTTTTTCTGATTATAAATTAATACACTTATTGCTGAAAATGTGGAGAATACAGAAAATTATACTGTCTATGGTATTTAATAACACAAAAATTGTTAGTAATCCGACCACTCAGAGATAATTGTTATTAAAATTTGATACATTACTTTATGGCCTTTTTTCTACACATTCATATGTATACTTTTTTGTATTTTTAACAAAATTGGGATATACGATATACTTTTTATTTCCTTTTTTTTTTTTTTAACTTACTGTCATAGCATGGAAATTTTTCCATGTAACTAAATATCCTGTAAAAATATAGTTTAATGGCCTTTCTTAGGAGCTGGGGATGGAAGGCAGAGGACTAATCCTCTAAATGTGGCCTATATTATGGGGTCACTTGTGCTTGAATTTCACGTACTCTGCTGACTTTAAATCCTTCCCTACTCCCATAGCCCAGTAAAAAGGGGACTGACTCCTCTTAAGGAGGAAAGTGATCGCTCTGTGGGATCAAAAAAGGAAAGGGCCAGGTTGAAGCAGAGGTCAGGCTCTTCTCTGTAACTTCTCAAACACAGTAGTACGTGTGTCTAATTAAGCAAGATTTAGCTTCCAATCCAAAGATTACTGAATACCCACCAAGTGTCAGGCCCTGTTCTAGGAGCTTTCACATATATCCTATGTCACCTGCTGTGGTGGAAAATGAAGCCACCTTTAAGTTACTACACAAATAATTCAAATTTGAGCTTCCACCCTGACTGAGAGAAGTCCATTCATCGTTCTCTGAGTTTTCCCCTCCTTGCAAATTAAGACCCCCCTCAAGGTGCTTACTTCATCCAAGTGAGTCGGTCTGGTTTAATATTTCTGTTGTGGAGAAAAGAAATTGAGAAGCCTGGTGTGACTGCTTAAGCTTCCAGCTTCTGCTCTGGTGAGGCTGACACAGAACACAGGAAGTCCGGCCCTCGGGTGTAAGGGTTCAAAGTCTACCCACTGAGACAGCGCGGCACAGACTGCAGGCAGAGAGGAGAACTCAGGCTAGCGACGGTTAGCCCACACTATTGGAGACTGGGTTCCCAGTACAACTTTAGAGACAGATATTTTTATTTACAAAAAATCAGTTATTTCTCTTAAGGAACCCGAAGGCCCAAGGCGGCAGATGAGGACAGGGTGCAACATCATTCCCCTGTTCCTGACTGGCCTTCCCCTGAGACAGGAAAGGCTCTGGTGCTGGGCCTGCCGTACCAGCCCCGCTCTTTTACTGCACCCCCAGCAGCACCAGCACCGGCAGCGTGGTGGACACCTTCTTGCGGGCCATTATTGTACATTTCTCACCACTCGGCTTACTAGGACCGTCCCAACACATCACAAGTGTTAGAATAACTTGAAACCCCAAAGGGGAAGAGTCAGGATTTCTGATTTACCGGGGAAATCCTTGGGCTCTTTGCAGATTTTCCCACCTCCTCCCCAGCAACCTTCCGATTCCATTCACCAGTGGGCTGATGGCGAGACAAAGCCCCAACCTTGGCCAAGCCGAAACATTGCTGCTCAGCCCAAATGCTCTGGATCCAGGGACCCACTTGCCTTATAGCCACACACCTAAAAGAGGTATAAATCATACCAGTTATATTTATGACATAAAAGCTACAGCATTTGGTGATCAAAAAGCCAGGTACAGGACTTCCCTGGTGGCACAGTGGTTAAGAATCTGCCTGCCAATTCAGGGGGCACGGGTTTGAGCCCTGGTCCGGGAAGATCCCACATGCCACAGGTTCACCACAACTACTAATCCCATGCACCACAACTACTGAGGCTGCGCTCTAGAGCCCGCGAGCCACAACTACTAAGCCCGTGTGCCACAACTCTTGAAGCCCGCGCGCCTAGAGCCTGTGCTCCGCAACAAGAGAAGCCACCACAAGGAGAAGCCCGCGCACCGCGGCGCAGAGTAGCCCCTGCTCTCTGCAACTAGAGAAAGCCCGCACGCAGCAACGAAGACCCAACGCAGCCAAAAAAAAGCCAGTTATGGTTCCCAGGTCTCTGACTTTGCTGACTTGACAGGTGATGTCATTAGTTGAAACAGGGATTTCAGGAGTGAATTGGATTTATGAGGAAGATGGTATCTGTTTTGGACATTTTAAAGTGTGCAGTGGTTTTTTAAAATACTCGGGTGGAAGCTCTGGGTGTCAAGTTCAAGAGAACTGGGTGAGCTTGAGATTTGGGAGTGATGGGTATATTGGTGGTTGATCACAAGTGTGGATGTGACTGACAGGGCAGAAGAGGAGCTGGGACGGAACCTGAGAAACAGTACCCTTGGAGAAGCAAGCCCACCGAGGAAGCTAAGGCGCTCTCAGGGTGACAGAAAGATCGAGTTGTGTCATGGAACCCAAAGGGAGATAATATTTCAAGAAGGAGGAATTTGTTCAATGGCATCCAAGGCAACAGAGGTCAAGAAAGACAAGCGTTGAAGTCAGGTTATGAATTTCTCAGGTAGATAAGACCTATCCAGATCTCTTTCGGCATATTATTGACCAAGGTCATATGATCAGATTATATTGTCTTTCAACAACTTGTGCTTGGAGTTGTATGATTAAACTCTTATGAGCACAGTATTGACAATCACCTACTAAGCAGTCATTGCTTGGTGTAACTAAGATCTTTTCACCACATCTTACTTTGCTGATTTTATCAGAAGCTTAGAAGCCACTTTCTTCTTGAAACTAACAAAATCTAGTAGCTACTACATTCTGTTTTGGCTTTGCCACTTGAATATGGCACTGCCTGGTACAGCACAGGTTGAGATCAGTATGTCTATTCATGCGTCAGGTGGTAACTCAATTCTCCCACACTTTTTACTGGAATACTATGAAAGCATTTTGAACATGATATGGCATCTTTGGTCTTCTTTTAGCTTGGGTGTGTCGTTTATATATTTAGTCCACCTCTTTTCTCTTTACTCTGACATTGCTAAAGTACGTCTACTTGGAGCCAATGTGATCATAAGCGGAAATACAAATACAGGTGACATCAAGTGCCGGTACTTGATTATAAGACAATTCAGAATATGCTTACGTTACAATCTTTAGGTCATTAAACTGAAAACATAAAATTTCAAAATTCTCCTGGAGACCTCTGCCCTGGAAAACGTAGCTTTTGATCCCGTGGTTCCCTGTGAATGCATTCCTCCCCGTTACAAGTAGTAGTTAATCCAGCTCGTTCATCTTCAGGTGTGTTCCTGGTGGGCTTGCTGGGGGGAATGTACTGTCCCTCTTTTGCTCCGGGGATGTGCTGTATGCACACCTCGAGGGTTTTCATCACAACGATCCGGTAAGGCTGTTAATGCCCACCTGACAGATAAAGAAATGGACGTTCATAGCGATGAAATAATTAGCCCAAGGCTGCATCACCAAGAAGAGCCAGCGACCACATTCCAGACCCTGGCTAACCCTGCCAGAAGCACTCTCTCTCTCTCTCTCTCTCTCTCTCTCTCTCTCTCTCTCTCTCTCTCTCTCCCCCCCCCCCCCCCCCGTCCCCCCCCCACACACACTCTCTCTCTCTCTCTCTCTCTCTCTCTCTCTCTCTCTCTCTCTCTCTCTCTCTCGCACCCTCCACGGGCGTCCCTACCCGGTCCCCCTCTTCTGCGTTTCTCAGAGCACTTGCCTGGCCCGCACGGATGCTACAGTAGCCTGCATCCCAAAATGTTACTTCTGCAACAAATCTCCTGTGTGCTTCCGTGAGAAGCGATATTCGGACCCAGAAAAGCTTTCTAACCTGAGCGCGCTTGCACGAGCCCGGGGCTACCGGCTGCAGCGGCCCCACCGGGGCCTCCGGGGGCGGGCGCTCGGGAGCGACGTCGGAGCGGACCAATCCCCGCGGGGGTGCCGGCCAAGGGGCCCAGTCGCAGGAAGGCAGGACAGCGACCGCCCAGGAGGCGGGGGACCAGCACCCCCGGGGCCCGTCTCCTGGGCCGGAGGCGATGCTCGGCTGGCGCGGCTGAGTCACCGCGAGCGCAGGCCGGGCCGCGGACCCAGCGACAGCCCGCCGACGGCTCAGGGAACAGCTGTCCGGCGCGCGGGCCCCGCGGGAGCTCGCCGGGCGGAGCCCGCAGGGCCACGCAGGAGCTGAGCGAGGGCTGCGCGGTGAACCGTCACCGTTGTCACTCTGGACGCGGAAGTGCGCTTTCCTGTTTTGCTTTAAAATCAGGGCTTGAGGTCTCCCGACCTGTGCATCTGGTCGAATTCAGCGGCAATTCCCCTTCCCATCCCAGCGCGGCGGCGCAGACCCAGCCTCCGTGCGCACTTGCTGCCCAGGAGGCACCGCGGGCGCAGGGCAGCCCCTGAAAGGAGACAGCCCCCGAGACTCCGGCCCCGAAAACGGTCAGACCCGCGCCTAGCTCGGCAGGAAGACTGTGATCGTGGGGTGAGTTAAAACAACATAAACAAACCCTTACGACTGGAAGCTGCTTTTTAAAGGCCCCCTTCCTGTCCGCTGTTCACAAGCAGCAAAATCAATAATACACAATTACGTAATTGTCTCGTCCCCAGAGCAACCTCACTGTTTCCCTTATGAAAACCAGCTGGCAGTATTCAGTGTGGGAGTTGTAGTGTGACCACTGGATAGCCAAAGTGGTAGACAGCTTATTAAGACTATCTTAAAGAATCATCTCAAGGGCGGGTTGAGTCCTTAAAGGTCCAGCTCTTAAAAATGGTTAAGTATGACAGTCTCAGGTTTACTGAGTACCCTGTTCCTAAGTGCAAGTTATTTTCTTAGGAAGTGCTTACTGCTTTCTGTTCCTTAGTTTGCTTGTTTACTCCACAAAGTTCCCCGAACTTCCCCATCATTGAAAATCTAGCCTCTCAGATAAGAGTGCAACTGATTATCTCTCTCCTTTTCTTCTTAATAGAATTTCAGCTACCTACCCAAGCAAGATGAAGATTCCATTTGTGGAACCTGCCATTTGCTTTAGTGTATTTGCTATGACTTTGATTGCTCCACTGACAACACAATATGTGTACAGGAGAATATGGGAGGAAACAGGCAACTACAGCATTGCACCCGATAGCAATGTTTCTGAGTGTGCAAAAAACAAAAGCAGCCCAATTTTCACATTCCAGGAGGTAAGAAATTAAAATATTCCTAACATGTATTAAAAAGGGAATGTACAACAGGATTTTAAAGGAAAGAGGATACTACACTCCTCATACATTGATCTCTTAAGGGTCACCCGAAAACCCCTAAGTCCCAAACCAAAAGCCTTTTTTCTCCTTTCTGTTTGAAGCTTCCTGACACCTTTAATCTGCCTCTTCTACTTAAAACCCCCTTCTTCTGTGACACTGGCTCTTGTCCTTTGTCTCAGAAAATGTCAGGGCAGTCTCATCTCCTCCGTGGTTGTCTCCTTTCTTCTTCCCCACGGAAAGCCTGAAAGTTGGGACAGGGCAGGCTGGAATGGTACTTGGTGGCCAGGGGTGGGGTGAAGCATGGGTCCTGCCTTTCCCTTGCCCGCTTCCTCCCTACCCGCTTCCGCTTCACGGGCATGACCCAGTTTTCAGTGACCCCAGAAAGTGGACCATCCCTGAAGACTGTGGGCCTGGCGCCAGGGTCTGTCATGGGGTGAGGGTGGCATTTGTCATCCATCATTCGGTGTTATCAAATCAGTTTGACCCCCCCCAGTGCTGAGGAGCATCTGTGTGAGGATATGGGGGGTGGAGAGCACCCACTTGCGCTCTGAGGTCACTGAAAATGTTCAGCCAGATACTCCAGAGCCTTTCCTTCCCCATGTCTAGCCTCCTCCCCCAGGAGGTACGTCGCCAGTCTCCATTCCCTTAGGCAGTCTTTAACAGTCTACCAGTGTCCAAATGCAAAGCAGAGAGAGCATCCAGATTTGGAAATTCCCCCCCCCGCCCAATGCCTGAAAAACAACCACACTTGTAAACTTTGAACTTTTCCCCTTGGGAATATTTTGTGATGGCAGAAGAGTGGTGCTGCTTCCCCAGTCAAAAGATGAAAAGAGTCTAAGGGACTCTGAGTCATCTGCACCCACGGAGAAAAGAACAGATTATTTCTGAACAGCCATGCAGATATCAAGGTTCTGGCCTAGAGTGAGGTCATAAAAACAGAAGGGCCAACAAGGGGCTCTCCTCTTGGTTTTGTCTCCCTTTAAGAATGTTTCCTGTTACATGTATATAATCTCCAGGGAGTAAGAAGGTTCCAGAGGCTCATCAGTTTCTGCATTTCATTCTGTGAGTTCCTTCACCAGCCCCCTGGGAGCAGTGGGACGGACAGAGGAGAGGACTTGAGTGTCTGGAAAGGTCGGCTGTCCTCACCCTCTAGAGTGACAGGAGATGGGCCTTGGTCCAGCTGCTTTGGTGACCTCTGTGACTGTGCAGGTGATGAGTATTGGCCCCGCTCCCTGCCTAACCCAGCTGCTGAAAGCCCCCCACTGCCCAGAGCAGGGGTCTCATTTTGAAGACTTCTGCCAAATTTTTTGATCGATTGACTGCTGTTTCACTGGATTAATGTTCAAGAGAACATACCGCCCTAGATCCTTGCCTTACAGTCGGTGCGCTAGAGCTACAGCTGCCTCTTCTAAGACTGGGGAACTAGAAACCATCCCACCCACAACTGGGACAGGGCGTGGCGACCCACTCACCACTCGCTCCTTAGGGCAGAGGAACACTTCCTTCTGACCCCTTCCCTGGATCCTGTCCCTGCTCAGCTTCTCAGAGAATATTCTGCCCCCTTTAAATCCGAGAACAAATGTTCCCTGTTCTGTGAGCTTCCACTTAGAGATCTGTGGACTGTTCTTGTAACCCTAAAAATAAGAGATGTCATAGTACAGGGTCAGCCCCTGATAAAATAAAGAAATGATTTTTTCAGCTCAGATTTTTCTTGCCGCTCTCCCAAAAGATCAGTTGTGTGTAAGAATACAATGTGTTGAACCTCTGTTATGCCGTTTTTATTTAACCTTCCCACGTAACAAATATACACACTTACGTATTGGTATGCAAGATAGTATTATGAATTTCAGGGTACAAATGTAAGAATACCTGGAGCAATTTCACTTATATCTAACATTTTGAAAGTCTATTTGGATGAAAGTCATATTTTTCAATCTATCTGGGGTTAAGGTATATATAACATATATATTCGTATGGATATTGATCTAACCTATCTTTCAAATCTCCAAGTTTTCTGAGCCCTGTGACTGTAAGTACAACTACATACTTCTCTTGGGCGATGAGGTTAATCTCTAGAAGGCCTCTTAACAAAGTGGCAAGGCTGTGGAAGGAAACTCTTGGCAAAGGGCAGAGAGTAGGGAATTCTGGGATGTCTATTGACTTTTGTGGAGGAAGGAATTTTTAAGCCCCTTACCGCCCTCTCCTTCCCTTGTAAATGATTGGTTTTGAAGTGTTACACCGGCCACTGTGGCCTTTTCTCTTCAGGCAGCTTTCAAGATAGGGACTCTGCCGCTGGAGGGGACAACTTCGGGTCACCCAACAGATCATGAAGTTGTTCTTGCTCAGGAATTTATTTATAAACCTTTTAATAACACAATCCCTGGTTACCAGCAGGTAAGGAATACCTTCTGCTCAACTGGAATTAATATATGCATTTTAGCCTATGAAATTTTGCCTTCCTTAACAGTGATAGCACTTTCCTTAGTTTATCCCCGTACCTTGTCAGTACCTTGTCATTCTGTTCAATCTTGTATAGGAAATAGCTTTTTTTTTTTTACTCTGATTTCTCCCATCTCCCCTACTATAACACATAACACATAATTCTCCAGAGTTTATAATGTTCAAACACAATTTCTTCTGTCTCAACATTGATTTACGGTTGAAATATGCTTCGAGTTTGTTAAGATCTGAATTTCACAACATGGGTTGCAGATGAGGTGAGTAGTCTGTGTAACAGACTGGGTTGGGATGACAGTAGGAAAAAAGGAGAGGACAGGACTTAGGTGGAGGCATGGAAGTGGGAGGAGGAACCCAAAACTGGAACATCTTGCTGAGGAGTTGATTAAACGATAACTGTTTCATTTATTTGTTTATTCAATAAACATTTACTTGATGGCTTCTATATCTGTAGGAGATGCAAAGATGTGCTCAAAAGATCTAACCTAGTAAAAATGAAACAGCACTGACTGTATGAGGGCCCTGTGTGGAGCTCCTTATATTGACTTTAATTTTAAGTCTCCTGACAGCCTGCAAGATTGAGACTGTTGACATTCCCTCTGGTCAGATGAAGACGCTACAGAGATAAGTAATTTGGTCAGGATCACACATAGCGTGCAAGTTACAGAGGCCTATTTTACTTGATGGTTTGTTCATTTAATCAATCTGTCTACTGAGTACCTACCCTCCCTGGAAGCACTGTTCTTGGAGCTGGTGACACTGTGGTGGAGAGGACAAGGTTTCACCCCACCCGGGAGCTGAGGTTGTAGGAGGGAAGTCACACAATGCACAGATCGAATGAACTATAATTTCCTGTCAAGGAGCCGGTGAGTCCCTAAGGAAAAAAACAACAAGGATAAGGGGCTGGAGTGTTGGGTGGGGATTAGTGGGGTTGCTTTGGATTGAGTGATGGTCAGGGAAGGCCCTTCTGAGGAAGTGGTTTTGAACTGAGGAAGTGAGCTGTGCAACAATCAGGCAGAGGGAACAGCAAGTAGCGTGGAGGTTTGTGGAATGGCTTGTCGGCCGAGACGACTGAGGAAGGGGAGATGAATCAGAGGCTCCGTGACGTGGGGTCGCCCCTCGCCGTGGCAAGGAGTTTGCATTTATTCCAGGGTAAGGAAAGCCACTGGGGGGTTGACAGAGGAGTGACACGAGCTGACGTGTGTTTTTAAAGACCACTCAAACTGCGGTGTACTACAGAACTGACTGTATTTGAATCCAGATTCCTCTGACTCCAGAGCTCAAGCTCTTAATCAATACACAAAAAAGTACAGCTGGGGAATGATAACTGTTCTATGAGAAGGTTCAGAAAAAGGAGTGATGACCCCGGTTTGGGAATTTCAGGGAAATCTAAGTGGGACCTGACTATGGACTGTGCCTGGAACATAGACCGTATCCGTGGGGGTGAGTGGGGATAACGCTGAAGATGAGATCAGGCCACGTCTCGGGGGCCTTAAATACCAGGCTAAGGAGTGTGGACTTTCCCAGGCAGTGGGGAGACACTGCAGCTTCTGAGCAGGTGAGAGACATGCCGATAGTATGCTGTGGTGCTATGCAACATGTGCCCAGCAGTAGTGTCTGTGATCTGCAAAGTGGTAAGATTGACATTATATTCTGAATTGAATGAAGAGACCAGTTAGATGCCAGGGTGGTCCAGGTGAAAACCAATGGGAGTTGTCATCCAAGTGGCAACTATGGGACCATCAAGAAGGTAAAGTGAGAAACTTTAGCGGGACAGGATAGATTGTGTTGGGGGGCATGGACGAAGGGAAAGGCTAGAAGCAAAGATGACTGAAGTTTTGGGTTTGAGTGACCAGAACATTTCCTGGCAACATGGAATGGCTTGAATTATATAAATATATAAAAATAAAAATAGGCTCACTATTTTAAAAAACCATTAATTCAGTATATGATATTTTTGTGGTTCATCATATTTTTGTGGTTTTTAGGGTGCTTTCTAAATATTACATGAATAAATCTTTTTTAAATGAGTTTAGTAATCTCCATTATAGAAACGGCACATATCCTTTAATATAAAGTTTGGAAAATACAGAAAAGTGATGAGAAGAAAATGCTTTTAAATCACCCCAAGTTCTTCCCATCAAATACCTAGCGTCACGATTGTTACATCTGCCAATCCACGTGTACGTAGTTGTTTTGGGCCTCAGGAAAGTTGAGTTTAGCTCACTCCTTAGTTCATGGCACGCTACCATCTTTAGTCAATACAAAGCTCCTCTTTGTGTTTTATCTTAATTTTAGTAAATAAAGGAATATTTGTGGAGACACGTGAAAAGGACAACTGAGCTCTATCTAAATAAAGGCCTATCAGATATGATGTTTACATGTGATATTCATTCCCCTTTAGAGTAGACAGAAAGGTGTATCATGGGAAAGGGTACCGTTCTTGCTTTAGAACAGTGGTCATGATCTCTTAGTGCTAACTGTTCACAGAAGAAAGAGAAGTCATTACATAACCAGTCCCTGAGGCCTTGGGTTCTGTGGATCCTCTATATAAGTCAGACATACGCCAATACACACACTTTTACTTTTATGGATTAATGTCTCCACTGTGGTACTTGAATATTGTGACTGAGCATTGATGATTGTATCACCTCTTGATATTTGCTTTGTGAACTGGATGAAGATTTAAGCTATATCAAACCCATGCACTAGAGATTCCCCATCCCTGACCTACTGGCAGTGTCAAGAAAAAGTATGTACCAGGGTATTTTTAGGCATATTGTATAAGCCTCTGTAAACACTTTGTCTTCTTTTTATTTCTTTGCAGGAAGTTCAGAAAAAAGTGTCTCTTTTTAATCTGCAGATGGACATAAGTGGGTTAATTCCTGGTCTCGTGTCTACATTCATGCTTCTGTCTCATAGTGACCACGGAGGACGAAAATTCCCCTTGATTTTGTCTTCTGCTGGTGCTCTTGCGAACAGTGCTTGGCTCTGTTTGCTTTCCTATTTTGCCCTTCCAATCCAGCTTTTGATTGCATCTACCTTTTTGGGTGCACTTTGTGGCAATTACACCACACTTCTGGGAGCCTCTTTTGCCTACATAGTTGATCAATGTAAAGAAAAGAAACAAAGAACAATTCGAATAGCTATAATTGACTTCCTGCTTGGAATTGTCACTGGATTGACAGGATTGTCTTCTGGCTATTTTATTAGAGAACTAGGTTTTGTGTGGTCGTTTTTAATTGCTACTATGTCTCTTACTGTTAACTTGATTTATATTTTATTCTTTCTTGAGGATTCGATGAAAGAGCCTTCATCTCAGAATGTTTCTATATCATGGACTGAAGGCTTTAAAAACTTATTTTACCGAACTTACATGCTTTTTAAAAATAATTCTGGTGAGCAACGGTCTTTGCTCTGTTTGTTGCTTTTTACAATGATCACTTATTTTTTCGTGACAGTTGGCATTTCCCCCATTTTTATCCTTTATGAATTGGATTCACCACTCTGCTGGGATGAAGTTTTAATAGGTTATGGATCAGCTTTGGGTAGTGTCTCTTTTTTCAGCAGTTTCCTAGGAATATGGCTTTTTTCTTATTGTATGGAAGATATTCACATGGCCTTCATTGGAATTTTTACCACCATGGTAGGAATGGCTATGATTGCTTTTGCCAGAACAACACTGATGATGTTTCTAGGTAAGTTACAAATGTAGCCTAGAACTGTGTATTGATGTTTACATAAAATGAATTTAGTCTGTTGGGTGAGAAACTTTAATATAAAATTCTCTATTTAATGCATTTTAGTTCAAGTAAAGGTAATTTGTTTAAAGCTAGCTTGCCAGAAGCTGAAAACCAACTGACTTTAAAGAAGAAAAAAAAAGTTGAATAACCACAATTTTCCAAATTTGCACATTTGCCAAAAAATTGTTTTGAGGAACATTCTTCTTGTGAATCAGTCCTTCAAAATAGCATTCACCAACTTGAATATTTCTTAAAATAATGCTAAGAAGGCTACAATTTTAAGACAACTCTCTAAAGTATACTCAAAAGATACATTAAAAAAATTCACTGAATATATTCAAGAAGATTTTGCAAATTGATCTTTCAGCAAATTGGTCATTTCATGAATTGGCTTTTGATGAATCACTTTCTGGCAAATAGGACTGCTTCCTTAACTAGGGCTTGAGTGAGATACTGTGTTTGAAAGGGTTAAAGGATCTGTTAAAGTGGGACCTCAAGAAAGATCCAATTTAGTCTTTTTCTACAAAGGCAGTGTTAACCTCTTGCTACCTTGCAGGGAAGCAGGGTGACCAAACAGAATTGGGCTTAATTTCCATCTACAGCACTAGGTGACCTTAGGCAAGTTACTAAACTACTCTGAGCCCTTGTTTTTTCATCTATAAAATGGGCATAGTGGTACCTAATTCAGAGGGTTATAACGAATATTAGAAGAGATAACTGTAAATCACTTAGCGCAATGCCAAGGGTTCAGTAAATGCCAGTTCTCCCGCCCTGTTTCCCTTGGAGTTGCCAACTCCAAGTAAGTTAATATATGTGAAAACATGTTGAAAACTTAAAGTGGTCTACAATGTAATATCTTACCATTTTGTCATATAACTAAAAATGCTACTATTAAGGGTCATAATTTAAGAGCAGAGGCAACTTGTGTTCGTGAAATTATTCAGCCACAAAGATGAAGAAGCAAGAAGAAACCAATTTACCAATAAGTAGATAAATATAATAAAAGAATTTTAACGATGAGAATGCCAAGTCTGAAAGAGCAAAAACAGAAAACAAAAAATTTATTAACAGTCGCAACCTGCTAAACATGACATCACTCTAATAACTAGGGAAACAGATCCATTTCAAGTGGCAGATTATATAGATCTGGACCTGTAACTTCCATGAACTCTTGTTCTCTGCACTAGAGTAAGAATTTAAGAGTAAACTTAAACTTGAGAGTAATCTTAAACTGACCTGTCTATAGTCTATCTTAATTCATTAAACAGAATTCTACCATTAATTAATTCAGCCGTTAGATGCAATGAGTTAAGATGCTTATAGAAAATGAAGTATTTAGACATTAAGTGTTCCACCTTAAATAAAACGGACCCTTAGTTTTCTGATTCAGCCAGTAATTTCTGACTATTCCTCTCACAGTCAGGCTGCCATTCCTTTTCACTGTTGTGCCACTGTCTGTTCTACGGTCCATGATATCAAAAGTGGTTCGTTCTACTGAACAAGGTGAGTTTAATTTGCTTAAGGAATAGAATGAATCTATGATCTGTACCAACTCATATCTGTGTACAATCAGTGTTTGATTCTTTAGGATATTCTACAACCCTTTTTCTGCACAGAACTCCTTTTGGATTGGTAAGGTCTGTGTTAGGAAGAGCTTATATTCAAACAAGGGAGCCCCTGCCCGGGGCCTGGTGCTTTAGAGGGCTTTCTCTGGAGCTGCCCCGCCCCAAGGGGAGAGGAGACCTCAGGGCCAGGCGATATGCCCCCTGGGAGCCCACAACACTCCCCCCTTCTAGGCTACACTCTGGGTACGTGGGTCCCCATAACTCCCAGCTGAACAGCTCATATCCAGTGAATGCCTCGATGATCCTCTTTCTCAGACCCGTTCTCCTGAGGGTAGACTGTGACCCCAGTGTGCTCTCCTGTACACCAAAGGGGTGGCCAAAGGGTGACTCTTTACAGGAGGGTCTGGCCCAACCTTGGAATTGCAGGGCGGGGTGTCTACACCCACGTGTAAATGACCCTTTCTGAGCAGAACAAGAGGTAGAATACAATGTGGGTGGCTGCAGCCTGCAGGCTGGGGACTGGGGGGTGAGGGCCAGCTCTCCCAGGGCTGTCATGTTCCACATGGAACTCTAAAACGTCTGAGAATTCTAAGTTTGTGTCTGACCTCCAAATCATTAGGAAGGTATTTTCTCAGAGTAGGGAGACAGAACATACCTTAGTTAACAGTCTGTTAGTCAGAATTACAACTTTTTTTTTTTCTTTTGGCTGCGCCACACGTCTTACAAGATCTCAGTTCCCCGACCAGGGACTGAACCCAGGCCACATCAGTGAAGGCCCAGAATCCTAACCACTAGGCCACTAGGGAACTCCCAGAATTATAACTTTTAAATACTTAGAACTTGTAGGCCTCTAACTGTATTCTTGCGCTGGATCCCCCAAATGTTAGAGCTGGGCCTGAGTCAGAGTCCTAGAAAAAACAGCATCCCGCTCAGCTGATTCAATCAAGAGACTTCAGGGAAGGGCAGCACAGAGAGGATGGCCCACGGAGGGAGGGAGCAGAGAAGAAACTGCACAGCCTTCTCCTCCTGGACCCCACTGACCAAGTCCAAGTCATAATATCGGTGGGGTCAGCCTCCTGAGCACAGAGCAGGGCACAGAAGATCCAACAGCTGAAGGGGAGGACAGAGAATAACCAGTACAGAAGGAAAACAAAATTAAATCTCTAGTTAGGACTGGGTACTTGTTAGATACTAGGCATATGTGGTTGACCTCCTTTTGCTGTGATCATACGAATATTATGAGACCTTGGAGCTTTCTTTTGTTCCATGTCTTAGCCTGGTGCAGATGTTCATATCAAGTGTTTATGAATAATTCATAATTATGCTATTGCACTTACAGCACTTTAGTCAACACTGGAGAAGCCTGCATAATTCAATAAGGTTGAAAATATATTTCTTGATTCTTTTCCACTCACAAGATGTAGCTACATATTCACACAGCTGTTTATAGATTGTGTGATGAGGATTAACTGGAAAACCACTTAGGAATATAAAAACTACAGTATGTAACTGTAGTTACATACTACATACTACATACTACATACTACAAACTACATACTACATACTACATACTACATACTACATACTACAAACTACATACTACAAACTACAGTACCTGCTTCCTTGAATTACGCTATGGTTTCTTAGATACGACACCAAAAGCACAACAAAAAAAGAAAAAATAGATAAATTAGACTTTATCAAAATTAAAAACTTTTATGCTTCAAAGGACACCATCAAGAAAATGAAAAGACAGCCCACTGAATGGGAGACTATATTTGCAAATCATACGTCTGATAAGGAACTTGTATCCAAAATATAAAAAAACTATTAAAACTCAGCAATAACAAGAAAACCCAATTAAAACATGGGCAAAGGATTTGAACTGACATCTCCCCAAAGAAGATGTACAAATGGCCAACAGACACATGAAAAAGTGCTCAACATCATTAGCCATCAGGGAAATGCAAATCAAAACCACAGTGAGACCCACTAGGATGGCCAAGATGAAAACGACAGCCCATAAGAAGTGTTGGCGAGGATGTGGAGAAACTGGAGCCCTCATACACTGCCGGTGGGAGTGTAAAATGGTGCAGCCATTTTACAAAACAGTTTGGTAGCTCCTCATAAAGTTAAACAGAGTTACCTTATGACTCAGCAATTCCATTCCTAGGTATATATATATACCAAAGAGAAATGAAAACATATGTCCACACAAAATCTTGTACACACATGTTCACAGCAGCATTATCTGTAATAGTCAAGAAGCATAAACAATGCAAGTGTCCATGAACTGATGAATCAACAAAATGAGGTGTCTGTCCAATGGAATATAATTTCGCACTAAAAAGAAATGAAGTAATGATAAGTTGTGCTGCGCAGGGAAGTCCAGCAACAAGCCAGAGCTACCTCAAGAGATGGTTGTTTGTCAGAACACAGCCCAGCCTGACCGGTTTCCAGCAAGAAAGGACTCAAGCGGCTGCATGATAGGATTAGCACCATACCACCTGTCCCCAGCTGTAGCAAGGGATCAGAAATAAAATGAAACAATAACGTAGATACATAACTAGGAGGACTTCTTTCCAATTAAACTAACTTCCTGTATTGTCATAAATCATAGAGGCAGTAAGGCCATATGCTACTTGATGATTGGTAATTGCCCTTGAATGAAGCTTTTATTCATTCATTTGACAAATATATATTAAACGTCTACCAGGTGCCAGCACAGCTACGCCCTGGGGACACAGCAGTGAAAAAAGCGTATGTGCCCTTGACATTGACAGAACTTTCATTTTGGTCAAAAGAAGACACATCTCTGATAACCCAGCATTCTGCATAGAGATGTTTGTTTTATGAACATGTGTCCTGTTGTTCAGTGAAGACTTTGAAGCAATGTATGAGAATATGTATAATAAAGTGAAAGTTTAAATAGATAAAAATCAATACACAGTCTAAAAGATCAAGACCATGGGGAAAGTTACAGTCTAGACATGTAAACTATAACCAAGCTAGATCCTCAAGCTTGCCCTTTTCCTTCCTATCAGTCCAATCAAACACAATTATTTATAGGATTTGCACTGTCTGTAAGAAAAATATATTACAATTTGTCATGGAAAAGTAAACTCGGCAAAGTAGGGAACAAGCAATGGCTTAAGAAGAGTCTGCAGAAACTACGTAGGAACTTATGCCACGGAAGCCACAGAGAGCTGAGAACAGCCACATTTGTAGTGATGCAGAATTTGACAAAGAGGAAAAAAAGCACATCAAGATGACCGGCTGGGGCTTCCCTGGTGGCGCAGTGGTTGAGAGTCCTCCTGCCGATGCAGGGGACGTGGGTTCGTGCCCCGGTCTGGGAAGATCCCACATGCCGCGGAGCGGCTGCGCCCGTGAGCCATGGACGCTGAGCCTGCGCGTCCGGAGCCTGTGCTCCGCAACGGGAGAGGCCACAACGGTGAGAGGCCCGCGGACCGCAAAAGAAAAAAAAAAAAAAAAAAAAAAAAAAAAGATGACCGGCTGTCTTTCGAAAGTTTCACTCTTCAGTCAGTATGGTCCTGGATTCCAGAATAAACTCAAAACTTGTAGAATAATGACCATTTCTCTGATTGTGAGCTTGGGCCAACCACGCAGCCATTTCAGGCTTCTTGAGCAATGCTCCATGGCCTGCCCTTTCCCACACTCGGCGTGTGGCAAGCGGGAAGGACAGCAGAGTCCCCTCAGAGGGGAGCCAGTTGTAAGCACGTAAGACAGAAAAATACGTTTTAAAGAATCACTCAATGTCAGACTGTGGCATAACCTTCACTAGAGCACCGGGCACTTATGTAGTTACTTGATGAGTCACACAGGAATCTTGTGTGACTGAAATTTTTGTTACTCTGGAGGAAGAGATCGAATTCAAATTGCAGAATGTATGGTAAGAAGATCATCTCTCTGCCTTGCCTGTCACTCTTGCCAGATCTGACCTGACCTTTCAGAGGGCCGGTGGGTGGGACGTCGTTTGCCTGGGAGCCATCCTGCCCCTGTAGGTGTGTCCCAGATTAGCGCAGGGACTGAGAGTGGAAGGTGGCACCTCGAACCTCAGGGGCAGGTGGGGCCTCGTCTTAGGCTGTAGCAGGGACGGGAGATGCGGCAGATTCCACATGCCTCAGCTTCCAGTGCCTTTTAGCTTTGCTGCACAGACCCTGGAAGTACTGATTCCAGCTCCTCTCACACCAGGTCCAGGGAGAACTCCTGAGCTCCGTTTCTTCACCCACAAAAACGGGTGACTGACTTCTCAGGGATTTTGAGGGAGTAGCTTTCCTTCACCAAGCAGTGCCCCCAGGTCTGCACTTTTCACTGAGCAGCCGTTTTCTGCATTATTTTTGTTTGTTGTTTTGTAACTCAGCCTTTTCTCTCTCTCCCTCCACACCCTGACCCCAAACAGGCACCATGTTCGCTTGTCTCGCTTTCTTAGAAACACTTGGCGGAATCACTGCAGTTTCTACTTTCAATGGAATTTATTCAGCCACCGTTGCTTGGTACAAAGGCTTCGTCTTTCTGCTCTCCGCTGTTTTATTACTAATTCCAGCCATCAGTCTATGGTATGTCATTACTTTTTACCCTTTTATCAAAGGATAGATGGATTGAATTCCCTGACCTCACCAGTACAATTACATAGATCTGTTGAAGTTTTGCCTCGGAATGTACTTTTCTCAAGAACTTTTAGATGTGAAGACACCTGTCAATAATTTTGGAGACTTAGAAAGAAAGAGACAGTGGTGTGGCCAACCAGGACTAAGAGAAAGAAACACTGGGTTAGACAGAGACTCTGAGAAGTTACCCCCTTATCTTTAAATGTGAACAACTGATGAATTTAGTGTCTAAGAATATATATGTATAATCAGTACATATATATTCGTACGTATATTCAATACACATATATTCTATGAATATGTATATACATATATATATACACATTCAAACAATGATTTCCTACAGTATAATATCCCCTGAAGGTCAAAGATTACTCTAAGAAGATATACTTTAATACAGATTCTTGGGTAAATGACAAGAGCAGATAGCATGCACTGGATATTAAGAATTCTCTTTCCTTTACAGAGAGTTGGCTTATTTGATGATTTCCTTTTCAAATGTAAATATCCAAGTAAATACAAACTACAAAATTCTATTTGTGAATAGTACATAGAATAAAAAGACCAGAGGCATAAACTTACAAGAAATATGTATTCTCCCTCTCCCTTTCAATGAACAAAATGTGTAAGCCAACTAGATAAGTGGTTGTGAAAACGCACAAGCAAATATATTTGACACGTTCTCTGGGGCCCAAGCACTGAGCTAAGAGCTCATTAACCTGCCTCTGCTGGGCTTGTCCACTTCACACGGCTGCCGCAGAGCAGGGTGATGGGGATGGGTAGAAGGTGGGGCACAGGGTCTGGCATCTGCCTTCCCCTAAGCACTGTGGGCTGTGGCTGCGAGGGAGGGAGAACAGAATCTATCCACACAGGCTTTAAACTCTGCCATGGCTGTGAACTCCTTAAAGGGCTGGCCTGCGTCTTATTCAGAGTAGGACCTCGGTACATACTGTCTCAGTGGGATGCTGATACCTAGATCTGTGTTAGATGGACTACAGTAGTATTTACAGTTCCTCTGTAACTGTGATGAAAAGCTATTTTTACTAGGTATCTTTTTAAAAGGAGACTATCACCTATTGAAGTGGCAAAATTAAAACTCCATGCTTTGCTAGTGAGCACATGATGAGACCATCAACCTTATACTTTGCTGGGAGTAGTGTTATTCGGCATTATCATTCTTGGAAAGCAATTCATGAACATGTATCAAAAGTTTCCCAAAAAAATTCATGGTATTTGAACCAGTGATCCCATTTAGAATCCTATCCTGAGGAAATGATCAGAAATGTCAAAAATTTATATATAAACAAGTTCATTATGGCAAAAAATATTTTAATGACCAAAATGGCCAACAACAGGAAATGGTTAAGTAAATGATGGTGCATCCATATCAAGAAAAATGACTTTAATAAGAACTGTATTACATGGGAAGTAGAATAATGGGTCATTTTAATTTTATTCTTCATATATTTATAAATATTCTGTTATGCACACATATAACTTTTATAATTGGAAAAATTAGTGCAGAGAGATTAAAGGTCATTGTGCCTTTAATAATGCATCTAGTGTAAATGTTGTTGGTCTTCTGAGATTTTTTTTTTAATCTGTTCAATATTTTTAAAATTAAAATCACACGCTATTTTCATTATTTCCTGATGTCTTCTGTCCTAGCTTCAGTTATAGGTATTAAACATGAACCCTAGTAATAGTTTTAGTTACAACTATTTTATGTGGACTGTGTGGAGGAGACAGTGGGATAGATGGACATTTTAGGGATCTGGAAGGGGAAGAGCTCATGTAGATTTTTTTTATTTTCAGAAAGCTTATGCATAACAAGCCTGTTGGATTCAAAATACCAGTATCCTCCTTCTTCGTATAATTTATTAAAAGCCATGTAACCAGGGAAAAGATGGAATACAGATTATTTATGTATTGCCTTAATCGATGTCTTATTTGCTTTGGCAGTGCTGTCAAGTGCATCAACAGGAATGCGGGAAGCTATGTCCTTCTTATACAAGAAGAATCCAGTGAAGACACTTCAGACAGATGATCAATTGTGAATAAAAAAAATCCAAATGCTCATATCATATACTCTTGACTTCTGAAGGATATAAACTAGCTCCACAATCAGTACTTCATAAATAATCAGTGCTGCAAGTTCTTTCTTCTAAAGTCAGAAATAGTTGCTGCTCTAGCTTCTTACAGCACCATGCACTTTGAACACTTTATGAAGATCACGTGACATATTCCCAGTAGATAAAAGAACAAATCTCAAGACACCTCCCACTTTGGGATTTACAAAAGAAACTGAAACTTATCGGTATAAGATGGGACTAAGAAATCTGATACAATCAAAAGCAATAATCTCCCTAATATACTCCAGTCTCTCACATTAAGACCAGGAAGAACTCTTTGTCTGCCTCAGTTTCTGCATCTGCAAAATGACTTTTTGACCCCTCTCAAAGATTTTGAAGGCATAACTGTTGAAAATTATGATGAGTCAGTCGCTTATAGGAAAATGATAGAAGTTTCAAGTATTCATAATATAATTTTCTTCTACTTGGGTAATGCTTTGTTTTTTTTAGAGCCCATCAAGGTGTTAGTGATAGTCAAGGCTCTCAGTAGCTGCAATATCCTTCAAAGGGAAGCACTTTAACGAATACGTTTTCACTTTTCCTAATATGTTTCATCAGTGACAGGCATGATAATATTTCCGTAAGTAACACAGGGGTGATTGAAAAAAGAGATTACTAATAGTTCCTAAAGAAATGTAAAAACTGAGTAAACAGGCAATCATGATGTAAAGTAACTAGTATTTATAGAGTCAATATTCACTCCTTCTTTCTGTCAAAGGGTATCCATCTCTTACTGCCTTATACTCGTCCTGGGACCACCGTGGTCCCTGAAAACACCGCATCCTCTCCTGCCTCCTGCCTGCACACAGGGTTCCATTGGGCCTTCTTCCCTCCCCACGTTGAAACTTTTAAGTCTCAGCCAAGGCATAGCTTCCGCTGCCTCCGTGTCCCTTCGGGACATTTCTCCCCTCCCCTCCTGCCCACCTCCACCCCCCACCCCCGTCCCTGCAGGGCCCCCACAGCCCTCTGGGTCCACCTCCACCCCCCACCCCCGTCCCTGCAGGGCCCCCACAGCCCTCTGGGTACTGCCGTCCAAGCATTTTCCCTTGTCTTGTAATGTTTGTTCCCCTACTTGACAATGAGCACCTTGAGGACAGGGACAATCTTTGATTCCTCATTATATCCACAATAAAATTTGAACTAAATGAACACAGAGTTTTGTTTTCACTTGTAAAAATCATTTAAAGCTATATATTTAATGCATTATGAGAGTAACCACTGATACCACGCCATAGTCATTAAGCCAGCCTTGCAAATAAATTGAAAAATATGTAGCCCATATGCATTTATGGTTTATGGTATTTTCACAGGTCCTTCAATATCTCCCATTTTCTAAGTTTCCATATATAATAACACAAATGTCTTGAAGTACACCTAGCTGGTTAACTCCTTTGTGATCTCTTGAAAGTAGGTAGAGTCTTCTGTTTCATAACATTGTTTACGGCTTTTTCCTGCAAGGTAATCAATGATTGTTTGACCAGCAAATAGCACTCACAATTTAAAAGACTGGAAATTCCTTTTTCCAAGACCATTCCTTTCAGGTTTAGCTAATGTCTTCTGGGCTATTCTCAGATTGACTGACAGACTGATTTTTGTTTTACTTCCTGTTCAATGCTCTTCCCAGAACAAAAGAAAAAGTACTGTATGGTTTACAAAATGCTATGTCAAGTTATTTTACCCTCTTAATAACCCTGCAAAGTAGATCTTCCTTTTTCCCATTTTATGGACAAGGAAGGCAAGTCTCAGGATTCACCCGACCATGGTTATTCAGCTACCACTAAGCAACAGTATTATACAGAGATGGATTTGGCACTGCTGAGGTTCTTCACAGAAGGGTGTGACATTATAAATCCAATATTGAGAATTGTATCAAGGAGAGTATAAAGTGCCCCCCCCCAAACACATGAGCACTACCAGTACCCAACTAACTGCCCATAAGATTGACTTTTTTGAGGTTAGATAAGGTCTATAACAAAGTCCCTTGCAGCTCAACCTTCCCTGATTTTACACATTCCACCTGAACTGAAGAGAACACACATGGGAATGTTTAATACAGTGCGAGGATTAACAGATAGTTTCTCAGCTGAGCAAAGACCATTTGAGATGCAGTAAGTGTATCAGGGGACTGGACTGGGGTAGCCCAGGGTAAGAACACAGCGTGAATGGGCTTAGCCATCTCCAAAGAGTCTGTCCTAAGAGAGAATTAGTAAATGGGATGCCGGGAGCCTAGAGAAGCATGCAAGCTGATGGGGGTATTTAGCCAAGACATGGGGTGGCAGGGGTGGAGGGGAAGCTATTATCTAACCTCCTGTAATGTGACCTGATTATCTAATTATCTGAACAAAGAATACTAATGGATGACTTGTTTTTATGGCATCTATATAAAGAGGAACCAAAAGGAAAACATGTTCCTTTCATCTAGGACTGTACAAGGGCGGTTAGATATACCATATCTAACAGAAATAAATATTTTCGTCACTCGGGAGGGTGTATTTCTGTTTCTACGAGGCTGGACTATTCAGTAGGATCCTCCATAGCCTGCACTGCACAACTCAAGAAACCCCTTTTCTCCACCCCTGTGCTCACTAAATAATCCTCTGGTTACTCACTCAGTATCCAAAAATCTTGCTAATAACAATAAGGTGCCCTAAGTTCAGCCTTTCTTAAAGAAATGCCTGTATATCAGGACCACCTGAGGAATTTTTTAAAAATCTCTGGAGATTCTAATTCAGTTGGTCTGGAGTGGGGTCTTAGAATCTATGAAAAAAAATCTCCCCAGGTGACAGATACACATTCAGATCTGGAAACTACTGCCCTAGATAAGTGCTTCTCATCCCTAAATGCACATTCAGACAATCAGCATGGGCGGGCAGTTAAACAAATACAAATACCAAGCCTTACTTTAGGCCAGTGGTTCTCAGCCTTGGCTGCTGGGCAGAACTGCCAGGGAGCTTTAAACACCACCAATACCCAGGTCCCAGCCCAGGCCAACCAAGTCAGAATTGCTGGAAGTGGGAGGTGGACAACAGTAGTTTTTCAAATGTTCTCCAGGTGATTCCAGTAAGTGGCCAGGGTTGAGAATCACTGCTCTAGATCAGGGGTCAGCAAACTTTTTCTGTAAGTGGCCAGAGAGCCAGAACGTAAATATTTTTTAGCCTTTGTGGGCTACACAGTCTGTCACGGCTACTCACTTACCTGCTGTCATAGCACAAAGCATCCTAGACTGTGCATAAGCGAACATGCATAGCTGTGCTCCAATAAACAAAACAAGCAGCAAGCTGAATTTGGCCCAGGGCAGTAGTGTGCTGAACCCCTGCTCTCGATGGAGGACACACATATTTTGGTTACTGGAGAGATATGTCCCTCATTGTAATTACTGGGATTCTAGGTTATAGAATACATAAAATAGTGTTAATATAAAACACTTGTTATAGCGCCTGGCTCAGTTCAGGCTTAAAAAATCAGTCTCATTTGATTAGCGTGAGGTAGTCCCTTGAGTCAAATTGATTCTGGTTGCACCTGACAGAAGTTTCTGGACTTACATGGCTACAGATCATTACTTAGAGACAGCTTTCTTAGGAATGATATGCAGCTAGAATGTGATCAAGATGGGACACAGCCCAGATGGTTTCATTGCCAAACATTTAAGGAACAAACAGATCAATCCTACACAAGTGTTTCCATAAAATAGAAGCAAGGAACATTTCCCAACCTGTTTTATGAGGTCAGCATTATCCTGATACAAAACCAGACAAAGAAACTACAAGAAAAGCAAACTACTCTTAAAAAAATAATAATTTAAAAAGACAAGTTAGGTGATGCAAACTTTAACACTTCATGAAGGGGACAATCTACATTTGGAGAACGGCAAAACGGAGTGGAAGGCAGGAAGCTTTTTATCGGATAAAGAACAAGGATCAAGAAAAGTCATTGCTCAGGATCAGTTCCAGGACCCTTCCCTCCCCCTCCCCCTGAGGATACCCAAATCCATGGATGCTCAAGTTCCTCATGTAAAATGGCACAGTACTTGTATATAACCTATGCACATCCTCCTGTGCACTTTAAATCATCTCTAGATTATTTCTGATACTTAATACAATAGTTGCTGGAATGGCAAATTCCAGTTTTGCTTTTTGGAATTTTCTGGAATTTTTTTTTCAAATATTTTTGATCTGAGGTTGGTTGAATCTGAGGATGTGGAATCTGTGGATACAAAGGCTATATACAACTGTATAAAGCCCAGAGTTGGTTTGGCATTTGGGGATGGGCTGACTGGATATACTGCCTTTATGGTCAAGGGAAGAATTTACGGACACGAAAGTTACCTAAGTTTTGCTTTGCTGATGTGGCACCCAGGCAGGAGCAGCTCCATCTTGGGCCTAGAAAGTTATTTCAACATTGCACACTAATATGTCTTATGAACATAAACAAAAAATTCACAACAAAATATTAACAAATCAGGTAATATATAAGAAAGATACTACATCCTGACGAAGTGAGGGTATCCAGAAACTGTAAGGCTGACTCAATATTTGAAAATCACTTAATGTAATAACGCATCATATTAACAGACTAAGGATAAAAAAACCACATGGTCATATCAATAGATGCAGAAAAAACATTTAACAAAATTCAACATCTATTCATGATAAAAATTCTCAAGAACCTAGGATCAAGCTAATAAAGGGGGCATCTACAAAACAAAAACAAACCAAAAAAACCCATACAGCTAACATGATATTTAATAGTAAAAAGACTGGATACTTTCCCCCTAAGACTGGGAATGAGACAAGGATACCCCATCTTACAATTCCTATTCAACACTATACTGGAAGTCCTAGCTGTAAGGCAAGAAGGCATACAGATGGTGAAGGACAAAGTAAAGCTGTTTATCTGCATATGACATGACACAGAAAATTCTAAAGCTTCATTAAA